GATTTGGGGCTCATCACCAGGAGATGGTGACTTCTAGTTCTGCTTCAGGCATAAAAGCTGACGGGATCATCGTGGGCCAGTCGCTAAGAGATGGTGAATTCTAGTCCTGCTTTAGCATGAAAGCTGGCAGGGTGACTATGGCCCAATCACTTGGAGATGCCGAGTTCTAGTCCTGCCTTCAGAATGAAAGCCGGCTGGGTGACTTTGGCCCAATCACTAGGAGCTGGTGAATTCTAGTCCTGTCTTGGGTATGAAAGTCGGCTGGGTGACTTTGGGCCAGTCTTCCTCTCTCAGCTCAATCGACTTCACTGGGTTGTTGTTGTGGGGAAAATAGGAGTATTGGGTATGTCCGCCATCTTGAGTTACATATAAAGTGATAAAGATAGATGAAAGATCTAATGAATAAATAATTTTTAGGCCAGAGCATTCTGTACTAATATAGTATCTCTCCCTAACAGGATTGCTGGCCAAAGGTTCCCCTTCTACAAAACAACTGGTGAAAAATAGATGCATGAGGACAGTGAGAACATCCCGACAGACTACAGAATGTTAAACCTGGGTTTGAGCCCAGCTTCCTTCCACAGTAGAAATGTCAGTCCCGGGAAAGCCTTACTAAGCAAACCTCACCACCTATTATGGCCCGACAGCCGACAGCAGAGCTGGCAGCAGACTCGGACAGTGAGGAGGTTGGGGTCTGGTGAGGGCTTTGCATCAGAGGCAGAGATGGGGCCACAACCGTCCGACAGTTACCAGCTGCCTTCGGAGTCGGGGATCAGTGGGGAAGAAGAACAGCTGGAGCCTGTTCCCAATGTGCACATGAGCAGAACTGCCAGGAGAAGGGAAGAGTTAAGGAACAAGGGTTGATTCGGGAGTAAAGGCACAGGTGGACAGTGAATGGCCCCTCCCATAGGGAATAAAGAGGAGTGAAAGGGGAGGAGACAATTAGTTCAATTCATTAAGAGTAAAGATCTGTTCCTGATTTCTTGCCAAGTAACTGCTGCTACAGCGTGGCATTTGGAAGCTATCGGCCTGGCAATTCTCCCAGCCTGATAAAGGTCTGTAATTGTCAAATCTCACGAAAGACTGTTTACCAGGACTTTGCTGGAGAGGAATTGCCCCCTTCACCTAAATAAAAGGGGTTTTTTTTTTCGGGACGAGGAGTCGGCTTCATGCACCACTGACTTTAAAACCAGGCTCAGACTCACCTCCCACATGGGCTTAATTCCTTCTTTGAAAAGATGGAAGTCGCTGTGGCCTGTCAGGTCCCCAGGACGGACCATATGGCTGTAAAACCGCCAGAACTGTTCCACCTGGAAGACATTCATTTATATATTTATTTAGTGTACGGCACATCACACCCATGGACTTGCAAGAGATACAGGGAGCCCTTGACAAAGGCGTCTTCAATTGGCTTATGCTAAACTAGCGTAAAAGCAAGCATTTAGTCATCCATTGTTCACTGATATACAATTTCCGCTTGTTTGGCTGCCCATCGGAATATGTTTCTGGGCAGCTAACAAGGATTCAGACCACAAACAGTTAAACCAGGACTCCCTTGGCCTACCAGAGGAGGGGGGCGGGAAACACAATACAAGTAATCCTTGACTTACAACTGCAATTGAGCCCAACATTTCTGTTGCCAAGGACGACGGTTGTTAAGTCTTTAACAAAATGAAATTCAGCGTAGAGAAAAGTCAAGTCCTACACTTAGGCAACGAAAACCCAAAGGACACATACAGACTGCGTGAAACCAGGCTCAATAGCAGGAACTGTGAGAGGGATCTTGGAGTCTTAGTGGACAACCAGCTAAATAGGAGCCAGCAGTGTGCAGCAGCATCCAAAAAAGCTAATGCAATCCTAAATTGCATTAACGGAAGGATACAATCGAGATCAAGGGAGGTACTAAGGCCACTCTATAAAGCCTTAGTAAGACTACACCTAGGGTACTGCAACCAGTTTTGCTCACCACATTATAAAAAAGATGTTGAGACTCTAGAAAGAGTGCAGAGAAGAGCAACCAGGATGATGAGGGGACTGGAGGCTCAAACATATGAAGAACGGTTGCAGGATCCGGGCCTGGCTAGTCTGGTGAAGAGAAGGACCAGGGGAGACAGGAGAGCATCTTCCAATATTTGAGGGGCTGCCACAGAAAGGAGGAAGGGGGTCAAGCTATTTTCTAAAGCACCTGAAGGCCAGACAAGGAATAATGGATGGAAACTGAACAAGGAGAGATTCAACCTGGAAATAAGGAGAAACTTTCTGACAGTGAGAACAATCAACCAATGGAACAGAAGTTGCCCTTGGAAATTGTGTGAGCACAATCACTTGAGACCTTCAAGAAGAGACTGGACTGCCGATTGCAAGCCGTATCGTCATGGCGCCAGCTCCTCCCATCTCCTTATAAGGTCCCTTCCCTTCCAACTCTGATTATCTATTATCTGTAACCTGAAGTCAGTTTTGCCCCCTTTTACGACCTTTCCTGCCACAGCTGTTAAGTGAATCACTGCAGCTATTCAGTTCGCAACAATGAATCCGGCTTCCCCGTTGGGACTTTGCTTGTCAGAATGTCGCAAAAGGGGATTGCGTGACCTCCCGGTCATAAACGTGAGTCGGTTGCTAAGCGTCTGAATTTGGATCACATGACCATAGGATGATCCTGTGATGGGTGTAAGTGTGAAAAACGGTTGTAAGTCACTTTTTCCAGCACCCTGGTACCTTCAAACGGTCACTCAAAATTTCTGTTGCTAAGCGAGACAGCTGCTGAGTGGGTATTAGCCCCATTTTGAGACCTTTCTTCTCACAGTTGTTAAGTGAATTGCTGCAGTTGGTAAGTTAATACGGGTAGTCCTTGACTTACAACATTTCGTTTAGCGATCGCTCAAGGTTACAACGGCACTGAAAAATGACTGTTTTTCACATTTACAACCGTTATAGCATCCTGAGGCCATGTGATCAAAATTCGGTCACTTGGCAACTGACTCATATTTATGACGGCCGCAGCATCTCAGGGATCCCTTTTAGTGACCTCCTGACAAGCAAAGTCAATGGGGAAGCCAGATTCGCTTAACAACCAGGTTACCAACTTAACAATGGCAATGATTCATTTGGTGGCTAGGAAGGTCGTAAAATGGGGCAAAGCTCCCTTTAACAAAGACCTCACTAACAGAAACTTTGGCTTTAATTGTGAGTTGTAAGTCGAGGACGCTCTTATTTATTTGTCTTCATTTTTGTTATCAGCTAATGTGATGATTTAAAAAAAAAATCTAATCAGTTTACATGGTCAGAGAGAGAAAGAGAAATTTAAAAATCAAGCCAATATACGCAACTCATATCATGACCAAAAGTTACTGACTTAAGATAATCAAAGAGGAATTTGTATTATATTTATTTTATCTTATCATTCTATGCTATTCTATTCCTTTTCTATATTCTATTCTGTTCTATTCTGTTCTATGCTATTCCATTCATTTTTTATTTCTCTTCTTCTTTCTATTCTAGTCTGTTTTACATTTTCTTTTCTAGTCTAGTCTAGTCTAGTTAGTCTAGTCTAGTCTAGTCTAGTCTAGTCTAGTCTGTTTTACATTCTATTCTATTCTATTCTATTCTATTCTATTCTATTCTATTCTAT